AGTTGTTTCTTTTCCACTTGTCTGGTTTCCTTACAGCCAGATTTTTACCCCAACGACGACCTGACAATTGCAGGTCATAAAAATTACCTTCTTTTACAAACTGAAAGAATTGTCCGTTGTTTCACGCCAACAGATAAAAAATAGCAAAAAAAGTCCACGCATACATCCAGTCATCTTGGAAAACGAGAACATGCTGCATACCTGCAATCCCAGGCGGCCCTTGCGGACCCATTTTACCGGGTGGTCCTTTTTCTCCTGGCTTCCCTGGAACGCCTGGTTCGCCAATTTCACCAGGATATCCTTTGGGTCCTTTATCACCAGGGGGTCCAGGAGGACCAGTTGGTCCTGGCGGGCATTCTCTGACACATGGCGTAAACTCCGATGAACTATCGGCCTCCGCATCTGAACAGTGATGTTATAACATATTCACTTTTGCTTTTTGAAGGCAGTTTAAACAATGATTTATAAAAAACCAAACCTTTTCCAGGAGGCCCATCATTCCCAGGCTGACCATCAAGACCATTCTCACCATCAGCACCTGGTTCACCAGGTGGGCCTGGAGGCCCCACTTGACAACAGCCTGCAACCAAGCACTAGTCTTTAAAGATGCAGTAATAAAAACTTGATAAGTATCATTTTTTTCAAAGTTTAGGATTTCGTAATGTATAAATCAGATCAGTGAGTTGTCAGTCCTCAGAAGCGATAGCCATTCTTTGCTGCATCTGGCTTACGTTTACAACTAAGCTTGGCAAAACGAGTACATCCGAGCATTAGTATGCAGTAGGGTCCGATTGACGGGTTTTTCGGAAATTTAGTTAAAAATTTATTTCTTATTACAGAATAAAATTTTCGGATGGAAATTTGAGAGAATGATGTTCCAGTAGAAAGCAGAATTAGTGCACATATAGCCGAGTTTCTGCAAAAAAAGTAGTTTAGTGAGTTATACTCGGGTAACAGGATCAGTGATGCAATACGCAACACAGTACGCTGAGGAGCTGATTTGTGATGACGAGGAGAACCCGGCGCAAAATATTCTTTTTGCAAGCAGAGCTCTGTTTGCGAAAATGTGAGACATTACGTGCTGCGTATGGCGTAAATAAGGCTAAAGTTGATGATTTTTGAAAACTAAGTTCCAGAAAAGAAAAGAAAACTTCCGGCTGGTGCCCATAGTTTGATAAATTTTGCACTGATTCAGTCTACTGATAAAATGCACTAAAGAAAGGCAAATGAAGATTTGAATACCGGTTCACTTGACCCATTCATCGCCCCTTGCTATCCCAAAATTTCTTCCAGTCCCACTTAATCTAATATTATAGTAAAATGCCTTCTTCTTTCAAAGTCCAAAATTAAACAGTCAAAGCAAAAAGAAAAATTTTTTAAATGCAATGAAATATTTACGATTGAGCTTGAAATGTTTACTATTGTTCTACAGCAAAAAAAAATGCAGTTTATGTCATGTTTCCGTCAGAATAGTATTTGATACACTTATATCGATTGAGCTTGCTGATCATAACAAATAGGCGTCAAAATCTCCGGCTGGAAATGCACGAAGGGCTGTCGGTTGGCGTGGTTAGAGTATCGTCGGTGTTTTCAAAATGTCAAAACGAAAAGTATTGCTCAACTTTTTGGCGCTAGTGTATTAAAGGCAGTGACATACGTTGCGAATTGCGATGAGTGGTGATAGCAAAGTAGTGAGAGCTGGGTGGAGGGAGAAAGCAAGGAAATCAAGGACACTTCGACTGTCTCTTCGTGTAAGTGATTAGGCACTTAGACTCTCCGTCAAATGAGCAGCGTGCAGAATGTCACTGCGATAACGGGAAAGGAGGATCTGTTGGGAGAGCATGCTCTTTAGTTTATTGGCAACCGGTGGACATCAACGTGTCAGTGAATAGCACTGGCTAGAGAACTGATGATATTTGACGACCTCTGAGGAGGAGGCGCATGTGCATCGCACAGCGCCAAGTGCTAGAAGG